ATTTTGTTTTTCAGATGTGACTCTGAGAGCAGGAGAGCAGAGACGCTGGAGACAGACTGTAAGACAGAGTAAGAAGATGCATAAACACAGAAAAAATAAAAGAAAGTCAAAGCTGAGCAGCGGGAAAACTGTGATAAGTGTAGATAAGAAAAAGAAAAGAAAGAAAAGAAATAAAAAGATAAGAAAAAGAAAAAAGATGCGACAAGAGAGGGAAAAGAAAAAGAAAAGAAAAGAAAAGAGTCTTATTTATGTCGTGTTTTTATTTGGTTGTAATTAAGCAATGTCATAATTTCACCTCTTTAATTTCATCTCTCGGATCAATATTGATGATGGCGCTAAAGGACAAGGACCAAAGATATTACAATGCAACCTGAGGGGAAGGTGAACGTCTGAAAGCTGGTGTTAGACTTTCCTGTTAGAATCATACTGAGGACTTTGAGAGAACTACAAGAGCTGAATCCATGAAGATATATCTGTGGCAAAACATACATGATGAAATCTGTTTGATGAAACTTCCTTCATTTCCACAGCGAGGGGAGGACAAGTGGTTGTGTAAGTTTAAACTGTGGATGTGACGTTGCCTCACACTGGGACCAGGCCGGTTCATCAGGAGCCGGTGTTCAGGGTGGAAAAAGATCCACTACAACACCGGCACTACAGAAACCCAGTCAGACCGGACCTGCAGGGGGTAAGACCAGACATTTTTACATTAAAGCTCTGAAAGGCTTGACAAAGTCCTCGCAGCTTGTCTTATTTATCTTTTGCTTTACAGTGAATGACGGTCTGCAGGAGGTTTCACATCAATATAAGATCAGTCTGAGGAGCAGATGTGAACATGTGACTGAAGGAACTAATGGAACAGGAAGTGGAACCCTCCTCAACAGGATCTACACTGAGCTCCACATCACAGAGGGACAGAGTGAAGAGGTTAATACCCAACATGAGGTGAGGCAGCTGGAGACAACTTCCAAGATGGACATCCTCCATGACGCTCCAATCAGGTGCCACGACATCTTAAAGTCTCACCTGACCAGCAAGAGACCCATCAGAGTGGTTCTGACCAACGGCGTCGCTGGCGTTGGAAAAACCTTCTCGGTGGCAGAAGTTCTCTCTGGACTGGGCAGAGGGCTTGGAGAACCAAGATGTCAGTCTGCTGGTTCTGCTTTCGTTTCAGGGAGCTGAACCTGATCAGAGATCAGCAGTACAGTCTTCTCAGGCTGCTCCATGTTTTCCATCCAACATACAGAAGGTCACAGCAGAGCAGCTCGCTGTCTGTAAAGTTCTGTTCATCTTTGACGGCCTGGATGAAAGCAGACTGTCACTGGATTTCAACAACAGGAAGTCTTGTGTCTGATGTCACACAGGAGTCATCAGTCAACGAGCTGCTAACAAACCTCATCAGGGGGAATCTGCTTCCCTCGGCTCTCGTCTGGATAACTTCCAGACCTGCGGCGGCCAATCAGATCCCTCCTACATGTGTGGACAGGGTAACAGAAGTACGAGGCTTCACTGACGCCCAGAAGGAGGAGTACTTCAGGAGGAGATCCAGTGATGAAGAGCTGTCCAGCAGAATCATCTCACACATCAAGACGTCCAGGAGCCTCCACATCATGTGTCAAGTCCCAGTCTTCTGCTGGATCACTGCTACAGTTCTGGAGCACATGTTGACCACAGACCAGAGAAGGAGAGCTGCCCCAGACCCTGACTGACCTGTTCTCACACTTCCTGCTGGTTCAAGACACAGAGGAAGAAGAACAAGTACCATGAGGGAGGTGAGACGAGTCCACAGGAGCTGACGGAGGCTGACGGGGAAGTTCTTCTGAAGCTGGGGAGGCTGGCGTTTGAACATCTGGAGAAAGGAACACATCATGTTCTACCAAGAAGACCTGAGCAGTGTGGTCTCGATGTCACAGAGCCTCGGTTGTACTCAGGACTTTGTACTGAGATCTTCAGAAGAGAGAGTGTGATCTTCCAGAAAACAGTCTACTGCTTTGTTCATCTGAGCGTTCAGGAGTTTTCTGGCTGCAGTCTACATGTTCCACTGTTACACCAACAAGGATAACAAGACACTGGAGACGTTCCTGGGAACTCCCTGGGGTCGGCTTCATAGCGGTGATCCTTCATTGGATATGTTCCTGAGAAAGGCAATAGATCAGTCATTAACGAGCAGTAATGGCCACCTTGATCTGTTTGTTCGCTTCCTTCATGGTCTTTCATTGGAGTCAAATCAGAGACTCTTAGGAGGTCTGCTAGGTCAGACAGAGACCCGTCCAGAAAGCATCCGGAGATCCATCGACAACCTGAAGGAGATCAGGACCCACAACATCTCTCCTGACAGAAGCATCAACCTCCTTCACTGTCTGACGGAGATGAACGATCACTCAGTTCATCAGGAGATCCAAGAGTTCCTGAAGTCAGAGGACAGATCAGAGAAGAAACTCTCTGAGATCCAGTGCTCAGCTCCGGCCTACATGCTGCCGATGTCAAAGGAGGTCCTGGGTGAACTGGACATGAAGGCAACCAGGACGTCAGAGGAGGGAGGAGACAGACTGATCCCAGCTGTGAGGAAGTGCAGAGATGCTCAGTAAGTCCAGGACCTGTATTCAATCAACCAAAGGTCTCAGGATCATTCCCGAGACTTGTGTTGTACGGAAGCAGAGAAAGGTCATACTCATCCCGTTATAACAAGATAATGGAGTAATTATCTTGTTATCTTGAGATAAAGGATAAGAAAATATTTACGAGTATGACATTTATCGGCTTCCGTTGTGTTGAGAGTTAAAGTGAGACTGAAAATCCTTCCACCTAATAGTGCCTATTACCCCTTTTTTTTGGGGGGGGGGGGGTTAGACCTCTTGTTGGTGTGATAGGAAGGCTAGAGAAGAACCAATTGTGGCAATGCATTCTGGATTTTATGAAGACATGTACAAGAGGTTTTGGCAAAGAAGAGGAGTGGTGAATGTATACAGAGTCTGTGCTTTGGTTCAATAACCTGAGTTTCCATTGCACTTGCAGACTTCCTCCCTGTTGGCCACCAGAGACTCACTGTGAAGTCTTGGCCTTGGCTCTGAAGTCCTCCCCCTCCCCCACTGGAGCGGAGAGTCCAAACAGAAGACCAGACATTTTGAGGTCAGACATCTTGTTTTTAGTTCTGTGTTGAAATGAATATTACAGAGATGTTATTAACAAACCTCAGGGCTGTTTTTTTATTGTTTTCATTTATTCTAGCATTAACTTTAGCACAGTACTTAATCTACTTCCATTCATTTAACTCAACTAGTGGCTTAACATTAAAAAAATATATAATTAACTGTCAATTAAAATAAAAAGTCTGTTTGATTAATTTAAATACGTGTTTCAGACAAATGGTTCCCAACCTGTTTTGTTTGATGTTGCTTTCGCAGCACGTCATGTTCCAAATTAGTTTCTATTAATGGTTAATTCATAAACATGTAATTTTATCTATAAGACTCTTTCCTCTGTTCCACTGGTGGTTTTGTTCTGTGCTCAGATTGCATTTCTGCAGCTGGACGGCAGCTGTATCTTTCCGACCATGGCTCTGGATTCGAACCCCTCCCACCTGGTCAGGAGTGATGCTGCTGTCTGCTGGACCGGAGAGTTCACAGTGTAGTCTGGCGACTCTGATCTCAGCAGTAAACCAGGTTATGTTTTAAGGAGGTCAAAGGTGAGCCACTGAGCCAGCTGCCCGTTGTGTTCATGTGTTTTCTTTATCTTGATAGTAACTCAGTGCTAGCTACCGTATCTGTATGTTCATGGGTGCACTCCAAGCAGGAGCTAATCAACGCTAATTACTTCACAGCCTCTGTGGCTAAAATAAGTATTCGAAAAACAAACACTAGGAAAAATCTTGACAAAAGTTGCCTCAGCATGTAAACATGTAAACAGATATACGCCAAACTTCTGTTTGCATCCTCCAAAGCATTGAAAAAGTCAGAGGGCAGTTATCCACCAAATAAAAGTAAGAAAATAAATTCAAAAATGTTTTGCCATGTTGTCAATGTTGTCATGTAGTTTGGGGTCGAGGCCCTGCAACATAAACAGGAAAATGTAATAAAAGCAGAGGAAGGTCATCAGCTTCTCTGAGGAACAGCGCTCCAGGAGAATCACTTTCTGGAGAATCACAGCATCACCAAGACCCCTGTACCCTGACTGAAGTGCAATGGAGCAAATTGACGGCAGATTTTACTTTCAAAACCTATTCATTGGCTGGTTTTTATCACTACCATTGAACTTTTACAATATATATTTCAGCCATATACAATGTCAAGACAAATAAATACCTTTGGTTTGTGAAAAATAAATGTTACTTCAACTCTTTGTTTTGATCGGTTGTTCTGTGTGTGATTGGTTTTGTCTTGTCGTCATGGAGATGTGCGGTGTTTTGGGGTCACGTGAGCACCGTCGTTGACAGCCGGTGGGTTATTTAAGACCCTGCTTCACCTGCACAGCGGGAGTGAGGCGGTTCTTGGTAGCCGTAATTTTTGTTGACCGTTTTTCATCATCGCTTTGTTGTTATGTTTGTTTTGACACACGTTCGCCATAGTGAACATTAAACATCCGGTGGGCGCGTGGTTCCGGTGGGTGCCTCACACGCGACTTTTAAAAGCCGCAGTAACTATTTTTATGGTGCATTTGCGACAATAAAAAAAGAAAATAGCAAAGAAATTATAGAGCTTTCCCTTTTTGTTTTTTCCTTTTTTTTTAAAAAGAAAGAACTTCAGCTGAAGTTTCAAGTTTGAGGATGATTTAGTTCCGTTTTAAATCAGGTTCAAAACGTCATTAAATAATGTGAGCGGAGCTGAGTTTCACTTTTACTACTTTAAAAACTAAAACTTTTCAAGGCCCATTTTTAATCTTCTCTGTTTCTCTGTGGAGAATCAACAGAACCTGTTTAGACCCTTGCAGTCAGGTAAGAGTTAACCTCCCAGCTCCTCTTCCTGAGGCTCAGCCTGCCGTCAAACCTGTTCTTACTCGCCCCACAGACATTTGCAAACCTTCATGTCGGCTGGTTTACAGCACTGAAAAGAAGTGTTTTAGCTCAGAGTCTCGTCATGTTTGTCTCCAGACTGATCTGCAGGTTCGGTTCCTACCGCTCTCGACCCAAAGGAGTGAGAATCTACACCGTGAGTTTAACATATTTAAAAGTTTAACTATTGAGTCTAAAAACATTATTAAAGTTAAAGTTACGGAGATGTTAGACACAGACAGTGGAAAGCTGCAGGGTTTCTGAAGCTGTGCAACCACAATCAGTTCTGACAGAGTTTACAGGCCGTTTAAGGTAAGGTTAGGAGAAGGAGCCAGGGAATGCATTATGACAATGAGTCCTCACATATATAGAAATACAAATGTGTGTTTGTGTGTGTGTGTGTGTGTGTGTGTGTGTGTGTGTGTATGAGCTGTTATGACATGCAGCTGTGAAACACACGTCTCTCTGCATACCTTCCCTTTTTTTCTCTATGTTCTCAGTTCCATTGTTTCTGTAGCCACACCTATCTAAAACAGGAAATGATTCACATGAGAATTTCCTCACCTCTGTCATTAAAGTTTGGTTAGTTTAAAAACTACTTCCATTCAAATGCCATGAGAAGGAAAGATCATTTTTTGAGGTGACTGAAAGGCTGTCCAAGGTTGCCAGGAAACATACCAGAGTCTGATATGTCTAGATAATTTACTTTTCTCCCTCAGTCCAGCTCCGTCTGGTCAACCTGTGTCGTTTCCAGTTACAGCAGTCGACCTCCGACCCAAGGTAAACTGTTCATGTCTCTTTCTTTACAAAGCCACTTAATGAATAGATCAACATTTTGGTAAATACACAAGATTAATATCAATCACATGTCTGTGTAGCTGGAGTCGGGACATGGTTAGCTTAGCTTAGCATAAAAACGGGAAAAGGGGAAAACAGTTACCCTGTCCAAACGTAAAAAAAAACACCTCCCAACACCTCTAAAGCTCGTTAATTAACATGTTGTATCTTGTTTGTTTAGTCTGCATTTAATGAATGTATTAATTGGTGTGTACATCTCTCTCTCTCTCTCTCTCTGTCTTTTTCAGATGCGTCTATTCGTTACAGCTTCGGTCGCCCGGTCCTCTCTGTGCGTCTCCCTGCAGGCCAGCAGTTTCGTTTCCCTCTGACACCCATGTTGACCACAGTGGGCGACCTGCTGCGAGACATCGCAGCCAAAGACCCCGGAGTGCACACCGCTGCCCTGCTCAATGGAGGTAACACACACTAATGTGAACTACTACACTTGTAAGGACCGTGTTCCTCGAGCCTGTAACACAAACTCTAACCTAAACTCGTGTAAAAGACTGAACCCTCAATGTTTTGAAGAAGTGAGTGCTGGACAAACTGTCCCCACCTTCTAAAAAGTGTCCCCACTTCACCAAAAATATTTGTATCTTCTCAAAATGTCCTCACATTAAAAAAGTGTCTTCACTTAAAAAAAATGTCCTTATGTTTGTAGTTGTAATCACTTTTTCTCATGCCCTTACTTTCCAAAATGTCCTCTTTTAAAAGGAAAAAGTCTTCAGTTTAAAAAAAAAAGTCCCCACTTTGCAAAAATGAAAATATCTGCACTTCCTGAAATTGTTGCAACTTTCCCAAAATATTTTTAATTTCCATAAATGCCCCGACTTTCTAAAAAAATGACTTCACTGCTGAAACTGTCCTTGACCGTGTCCTCATGATTCAAAACTATCCTCACATTCAATAAATATCTTTATCTTCTAAAATGTCCTCACAGGGTCTAAAACTGAACCTGGTCCTCACAAAGATCTAAAAACAGGGACATTTTGAAAACACAAAACTTAACACAACTTTACTTTCTTTCCTCAGACGGACAGAGAATCTCCTCGTGCACTTTTATGGAAACTGTTTTAAACAAAGATTTCCAGCTGGTCATCAATGATGTCACACACAACGTTCATGCACTTGGACAAGGTATGACCTGTGTGTGTCTCAACACTTGAGTCTTACTTCTCTTACGTAAACACACATGCAGCAACTTCTAGCGCTTCACCCAGATTGACTGCAGAGGAATCAAAACGTTTAAACATTAAAATGTGGTATTACATGTGTCTTTCTCTGTGTATCAGGTTCGTCTCATGAACATGTGTTGGGTCTGGATGATATGAAGTACGTGGTCCACCTGCTTCACTCGGCTCTGGCGCTTCCTCAGCAGCAACACACCAAACACTCTGAGCTGCTGATCAGACAAGAGCAGCTCAGACAGCAGCTGCTGCCGCTAGAGACGGTACGACACATCAAATACAAAAAATAACGGCTATGACAACATGACTGTGTGCGCGTCTACTTGGTTTACCCGTGGTGTGGGGACATACTGTACATTATGAGGACTCAACTTCCTTTTGGGGAGAAAAGCCAGTTCCCCCATACAGAAATGTAATATATGACATATATGTTCCTCAATCAAGAGTGATATTTCAATATATGTCACCTGTAAGGGAATATATTATTATCACATATATAGATCCTCTGGATATGTGAAGAGTTTTTTAACATATACAAAAAACCAATAGTAAAATTTGTATATGTATGTAAAATATCTATATTATGAATTTTTTTAAGGTATAAGATGTGACAACCATATATGTTAACAACATATAAAACTGAATATATATTTAATTTATAATATTTATTTATTAAAAAAACATACACAAAATTTTTTTTATATGCTTTCCTTATTCATTTCTTCCCATTTTGGGAAAGTGGTCTCAGAGTTTGGGACTCTACTGTATATAATATCAACAGATATTGACAGGCTTTGGGATTGATATATATTTACATAATATATGTCTACAATATAAGCTTACATATATACTATAAACATACATATTTGTATGATCTAGACATATATGTTACTATATGAAATTATTCCAATTTCTTACAGGTTCCATATATAATTTTGTGTGCTTTTTTAAAATATGTGTATATATGTCATTTATAGAAATTCAATATATGTACGTATATTACATTTGCGTATGGGCCATAAGGTAATAATTCAAATTTAGGGAGAAGACTTGGTTTAAGTCTCCAGGAAATTAATGTGAGCCATGTGTAATGTCCACTTAAGTGATGGAAATATGACTGTGTGTGTGTATAGGTGAAAGTCCAGATGGCAAAGGAGGCGGAGTCTAAAGCATCCATGCTGGGGTTGGTCGGCCTGGCCTACCTGTCACTGCAGGGGGGATTCCTGGGATACCTCACCTGGTAATGAAGAGCCACATTCACAAGCAGGAAGTTTACTGCACTCAGACAGCGTGTAATAATGTATGCGTGTGTGTGTGTGTGTGTGTGTGTGTGTGTGTGTGTGTGTGTGTGTCAGGTATGTGTTTGCCTGGGACATCATGGAGCCAATCACCTACTTCATCTCCTACACCACCAGTATGATCTTCTTCGGCTACTACGTTCTCACCAAACAGGTAGAAACACTCAGCTTTTGTCTTCTGTTTTCGTGAGGCTAATTAGTATTTTAATTTCACATCTTATTTGTTTCTCACTTTTTCTAATGGCTGTTTAAAACTTACCTTTAGGATTAAAGGAGCTATATTTAAGTTTTTGCTATTGCTACATAGCCAACGCATTCACAGCTATTTACTTACCAGTAAACATTTCCTTCACTCGCCAGGAGCTGTCTCCAGAGGTGGAAAACAATGTCATTGTTAACTCTTATTTTGCTTCTATTTTTATCTCTTCTTTTCTTCTACTAAAATTAGCATGCTAACTATGCTAGCCCTGGTCTGGTCTGTCTCTTAACGTTAGCGAGTCAATGTAGCGTCCAGCCTGCCCTAAAGACGTAGCTGCTCAGAGGGCGTATTATAACCTCATGTATTGGGAACGCAACAATGACTAGAGCTCTTATCGAGACTGGTAAGTAAACAGCTGTTGACGCTAATGCTAGTTATGTAGCAATAGCAAAAACGTTGGTAAGTGATTGGAGCTAGGTAATGTATTATGTCAATGATTGTGTGCAGGATTTCATCTGTCCGAGTGTGAGGGATCGTGAGTTCCTTCAGTTCTTTCATAAGAGAGCATCTCAACAGAAATTCAACGTTCAGAAATACAATGAGCTCAAAGACGAACTGGCAAAGGTTATGAACACACACACACACACACACACACACACACACACATACACACACACATACACAAACACACACACACACACACACACACACTCACACACAACTTTAAGAAGTTATAAGTCAGTGATATTAAAACAACGCACAGCGGAGCTAGGAACTTGGTGATATATCTGTGAGATCCAGCAGTACCTTTGACTTGTGACAATTCTGGCTTCAACTTATTTTTGTTAGCTCCTGACAAACAAAGATCAACATGTAAGATGAAAATATCATAAATGGAACAGAAACAATGATCTGAAAATCACATCTGAAGCTCTTAAACAGCAGAAATGATTAACTGTGTGCGTGTTTGTGCAGGTGGACGATGATCTCAGGAGGTTAAGACGAGCAATTCGGCTGCAGCTGCCGGTGGATCAGGTTCAGCCTCAAAGAGCCACCTGAGATTTTTTTATAATTTTCTATTTTGTTGTGACATTAATTGTAACTTTTATACATTACTTTATAGTCGTTGTTTATAAGAAATGTTTCAACGCTTCTGTCATGGCCGTCTGACTTTATTAAAGACATATGTCATTTTTAAAACACTGTAAAACGTTAGCTGAAAAGATGTGCTACCTGTAGAAGCAGAAACTTATTTCTGTTGCAGTACATTTAGAAAAAAAGTATGTTATTGATAGAGGAGAAAAATATATTTCACTGGCATTTTATTGGACACAAGTGGTATTTAATTACTAATACAATGCGTAAACAAAAACTGGGCTGTTTAAAGTCTGTGATTGTTGGAAAATGAAAACACTTTTGCTTTTGCCACTGATCAATTCACAGTAAAGAAAAGTTTCCATCATCACACAAGCTGCAGCCAATGTGAAACATCTGAGAAAAAACCACTAGTCATACTTTGGTTGGTCATTGAAGAAGTACAGTACAACTGTGTGTATGTGTGTGTGTTCACTTCATCAGGAGTTAAACTTGGTGACTTCAGGCCAACCTGTATAAAGTCTGACCCAATCAAAGTAATCAGCCACCTGCAAGAGACAGACAGAATTAATAACAATGTTATGTGACGCTATAGCTAGCGATGTTGTTGCTTTTAAGTTATCTATGTGTTTGTCCCTTGAGATAATGTATATTATGGTTTGGCGCTTTACTAATAAAGTAGAAATTGAATTGAAATTGATATCTGCTCACTGTACAAGTGTTTTGTTCTTTGGCTATGTGTTTGTATTGTTGAGATATTACTGAAATCCGTCAATAAAGCAAATTTAATACTTAACAATAATAATAATCTGTGTTTTCTGTGTTTACATTTTGCATTTGAAAAAGTAATTTATATATTGCTATATTATTTGTGTGTATATATATATATATATATATATAGGGACTTTTCTGACATATACAAACACACGTCTTTCTCTATGTATAAATGTTATTTTCTGTGTATCGATGTTTAGTTGTACTTTACCTGTGTATAAACTCCGGGGAATCCTGGCTGACCACACTGCTCTCCCCAGCTGACGATGCCCCACAGGTAGGAAACACCCAATTCATCTTCACAAACCAGAGGACCTCCACTGTCCCCCTGACAAGAGTCCACACTGCCAGCCAGATCACCTGCACACACAAAGTTACACCTGCTCAATGTCTGCACAAAGCGGTCTGCGTTAGTGTATATACATCACCAACCACGGACACACCCACCTGCACACATCATGCCTGGTTTGAAGCGATGTGCGTAGTATCTCTCACAGTTGTTGATGAGGGAGACGTTGGCCCAGAGCAACACCTGAGATGCTTTGCCATCTGCACACATACATACCATTATTTAAACACTGACATTGTCAAACTAACGAATCTGATTCTCCGACTGTCTTGCTGACGGGCAATCAGACCGATGAAGTGATCCGTGATGAAATGTATGAAGGTTTGTATGCAATTTGTTTTAAGGATATAATAGATTTTTACACACAAATTGTTGAACGTTGAACAAAATAAATGAATGCATTTAAAAGTGTTTAATACAACATGATGATTTATGAATAATGATGAGGTAGTTAATGTTATCATTAATTGTTAACACAACAGAATTCAATGCAATTTTGTTATATCCACGACATACAGGTAGGGCTCATCACTAAAGTATATTGAAATTAAATAAATCAGGTAATATGAGGTTATTAAAATACAGTTTAACATTTATTTTCTCACTTACTTCGAGGGAGTTTTGTAATAACATGTAATAAAATGCTCATTTGTGTTTTCACCCCATTTTCACTTCACTTTGCACCAAATGAGTAAAACTTCCTTGTCACAAGAGGACTTCCTTTACACTAACGTTGCTGCTATTCTTGTAAGTAAGCCGAACAGAAACGTACAGACCTGCGGTTCGTCCCCATCCGGAGATGCTGCAGGTGTGGTTGGGTCTGAAGAGTTCAGGGGACCAGGGAAGACAGACCGACCTGATGGCCGGGTTCTCCTCAAAACATTCTTCCTTGAACGGAAGCTTCTGCAGCTTCACCAGAGCAATGTCGTTTTCATAGGAGCTGGCGTTGTACCTACAGGTTATTAAAATAACACATGATTTTTTATTCTGAAACATTAATATTTACATTCATTGAGCTAGATAGGGTTATCACATGTATAGAAGACGGATTCATACTTGGGGTGGATGTTAACTTCTTCAACAGGAACAATGTCAGTCGTGTCCTGAGCTTTGGCCTTCTTCCAGAGAGAAAACTTTACCCTGTATAATGAGGGGTTTGGTCTGGGAGAAAAAGCAATGGGTTGTATTACGTCAGAGGATTAAACAACGTATTTATTCACAACATCATGTGTTGTTTTGAATGGAGCGAGCACTGATCAAGACTAAATTATTAGTTGTCTGTTTAAATAATGTCGCTGGGCTGGGTCTTCTCATCTATGTACGGAAGAGGATTAGGGCCACTTGAATTCCGAGATTAAAGTCAGAATTTTAAAAAATAAATAAATAAAATAAAAAAATTGACGTGGCCCTAATGTGAAAAACTATTTTTCTTTTTTAGGAAGTCAGAATCCTGAGAATTTCTCAAAATTATGACTTTTCTAGCCCCAATTTGTTTTTTTATTCTTCGATTTGGATGCAACCACTACTAATATTTCATACTACTAGTGCTGCATCATCGTCCTACCTGACACAGTGAGCAGCAGTGAGGACCCAGCAGCCTCCGATATAAGCTCCTCCACAGTCAATCTTGCCGCGCTCCTCTAGAGCAACCTGCCACTGGATCTGAGTCTGCAGATATGACATGAACATTTCATTGTTCTCTTTCGGGAAGCAAAGGGGCTGATGAAACATAAGCATTAATAAGACCACTGGTTTGAGAAAAAGATAATGATCCAAACTCCACCATGTTCTCTATGTTTTCTCGCCTGTACACCAAAGTGGGAACACATTATATAAGATGAGTATTATATGGGTTTTGGGTCAAACTTGGCTGCGGATGTTGAACCTTTTCTAAAGCAATAAAATGTAAATGTTTCAGAGAGCATTTAACAGTGTTGTGGGTCATTGGGAAATCACAGGAACAGTATGTTAGCCAGTGGTTCTCAAGTTAAGGAGCCACTGATACTGTATAAGAAATGATCATGATAATAGTAATAAACCGAGCAGCTTGAAATGAATGCACTGGTACTGAAAACAGACAAGCAGGTGTGTTTCCAACTGACCGGTTTGGCCGGGTGTCCTCCCACCACTCTCTTGACTCTCACTCCTCGCTCGTGCACTTCGTCGTCCACTATGTCCATATTGGGAACCCCGCACTTTAACTTGGACTCCAGAAACTCTCTGTCCTTCTTTATTTCTAGACACATATGCAAATAGTTGTTGAAATTCGTATCTGGCTGTGACTGAAGGTGATCTGGTGAACTGGCTTGACTTGGACTTAGTCACCTGACTGCAACACTGCACAAACAAGTACAGTACAGTACATGGCCAAAAGTATGTGGACATCCCTCCATCCCTCCATCAATCAAGGCTTTCCACCAGAAACCAGGTGTTCCAGTTCGTCCCAAAGGGGCTGGATGGGGGGAGGGGTCAGGGCTCTGTGTGGGCCAGTCAACTTCTTAAAACACCAAATCATGGAGCTTTCTTTGTGCACATGTTGAAACAGGAAACCAAACCTGTCCCTAAACTATTACCACAAGGTTGCAAGAAAGTTAACTGTTCCCATCATTTGCATTAAGGGAAAATCGTATGTGTACAGGGATGTCCACGTACCTTTGGCCACAAAGTGTAATACCACTTCTTTTAATACTATACTGGAAGTGTCAGTGTTTAAACTACATACCATCTTTGGGAGAGACGTGCTCTGAAATAAAGAAAAAAACAAATTACTGTCATCACCACCACAAACAACAACAGTTTCCTACGGTTGTTCAAGCCACTGCTGTGTGCACATTCATCGCAGCCATACCTAAGTTTTGGAGTACTCTTTTCTCCTCTTCATCTGTGGAAAATTAGAAATATTTATTAAACATCAGTGTTTCACAACTTTTCTAAGTCGGCCCAATACCTTTGTGGCCCAAACCTTTACATTTGAGTTTTCTTGTACATATTTTTGCTTTGCTTTCTGTCTTGTTGGAGCCAGACCATGAAGACAGCGACCGTAACCATCAAGACGGCTATGTATCGATTAAAACAATTATCCTTAAGTTTCAGTGATTTCTAAAATTTAATCGTAGTAAATATGGTTTGGGGTAAAAACTGATTTAAAAATATGTGTGAAAGTGAAAGCCTGTGAATCTCACTTTTGCCCACAGATGATAATTCATCCTCGCCATCCAGACAGTCCCTTTGTCCATCATGGACTGCTTCTTTATGCAAACACACGCCCGTCTTGCAGAGGAAACCATCATTCCTGCATTCTGACAAACAAAATAAGTCACACAGTGGCAGATGGGACAGACAGGGTTATGGGATCCATTTATGTGTGTGTGTGTGTGTGTGTGTGTGTTCGGTTTACTTTTGCAGCACATTTCATCACTGCGGTCGCCGCAGTCGTCAACTCCGTCACATGTCTGGTTCAGAGACACACACTTGCTGTTTGTACATGTGAACTCAGGCTCACAGTTCTCCTCTGAAACACATGGGCACATATTGTCAAAACACTAGAGAAGTATAACAAATGACAGTACAAGAGATGACTTCTCAAACTAATCATAGTGGATGAGTTTATGTTGCTCATTGGCCCTGGATGGCCAATCCAAGGAAACTCAGTTTTGATCAACGACACAAACCTTAGCCAGTTTGGTCCCATATTTACTGGCTTTGGAGTTGTGGACTAATATGGGCTGAAAATCTGCTTCACTCAACGCACACAGGCCAGCTTTGGGTCAGTGTCGGACATTTTTTTGTGGAAAAACATTTTGGCTAACAAGGGAATCGCTGCATCTTGGTGCTTGATGACGGACTGATGGCTGGGCGATCATTACTATGGTGGCTCCCCAAAGGTAGTGGGCAAGGCAATGTTGGATTATATCTAGCCACTGGTAGGATCTACCAGCACTAGTATTGAGTACCAAATATGAACCGAGGGATTTCTAGGAACAT